TAAGGTTTCGCTAAAATCTCAGGTTGAACTGTTCATTTAAAAAGCGACTTACGTTGTTTGTAGCCTGCGAACCTCTTGGTTTTTAGGGATTATCTTGAAAACTAGCATTTGCTGAAAATCAGATTTAGCACCATTTATAGATCTAATTAAGAGCTATAAGATTCACTATTCGTCAAAAAAAAAATGTTTTGGCATTCGTTTTTTTAACCTAAATACGTACGAATGTCACATTCGCCACTAGAGAATTGCCCATATGTCAATTCCAATTGGAGATGTATCGGTGGCATTCTTGAACTTGAATTTAGCAACGAACACGGAATTTGGGCAACCCTATATGTGACACAGCCCTGGCACCTGGCTCCTGATCGACCCACACTCGGCTGCATATCACTCATCAGTTATCTATGACCACTCATGAAGAAATCCTTAAACTTACTTTATTTCTGTGCTTTTGCAGTTTGCCACCTCCGTCACCGGCGAACACACCCACTAAAGGATTCGATGGCAACTTCAAACTAGAGCCGAATCTGAGCGTCAAGGACTTTGCGACACCGTCCGAGAATGGCAACGGTAATGGCAACCTGGAGTCAGTTGCTAGCATGCCCGCTGCCATGACCACGCCGACACCGCCGCAGCGCAAGCGCTACAAGAAGCGGGTCCAGTTCACGACCGATGCGCTCAATGGCTATGCAGGCGCTAAGGGTAAAGGCGGCCCAGCAGCTGGTTACAACAACAACAATAACAACAACAGCTTCGGCAGCACCTCTAAAACAAAGAAACCTGAAGCGAAGGCAGCAGCAGCTGCCCTCAAAGCAGGCGCAGCAGCGGTCGCCTCATCGGCGCTGCCGGAGGTGCTAGACTGCCGCATCGCAGAGAAGATTAAAAGCGAGCTGGAAGCATGCAGCAAGGAGTCGCTACCAAGTGCACTTTGCCTCAAGAAAGCAGCAGCTGCTGCTGCTGCAGGGGCACAACACAGTGACGCGGATGAGGACGAGGAAGACGAAGTTCAGCAGCAGCAGCTAGCAGCGGCAACAGCCGCTGCTCATCCGACCACGGGGGCACCGACGGTGCTGGCTAACGCGGATACGGTTGATGCCAACAACGCCAGCAACGGCCAGCTAGGAAGCTTTCATGTGCGCTCCAAGAGCCAAAACGGCAGCAAGAAGTCCCAGTCCGCAAAAGCAGCAGCAGCTGCTGTGGCGGCAGCGGCTGCAGCTGCAGCGGTTATGATGCCACCGAACAGCTATGACGAGCCTGAAGACGATTCGGCCGCAGGTCAGGGCGATGATGATGAGGAGGACGACGAAGAGATGGATGAGGAGGCGCTGGCGCGTGAGATGAAACTGGAGCAGAACTTTGTGGAAGAGGAGGATGAGCATGACATCGCGTTCAGATCGCAGCAGTCGTGCCGCGAGTGCTCCATCTCGCATGATCACAAGCTATGCCCGCTGCGCAATGCCTGTGGCAATGTGACGGACGCAGTGGACCTGGCCGAGTGGATTGAACGCCGCAATCTGGAGGCGCTAGCCAAACTGAAAGCGGATGCCCAGCGGCAGGCGAAGGTGGGCAGACCGCGCCACGTTGACGACGAAGATGATATGGAGGACATGGATATGGACGAATCATCTCAGCTGTCCGAGCTGGAGACTAAGCCACTGATAACATTCGCCGAGGCTTCGGTGCCCGCCGAATTCGAGCTTCATAACGTCGAGCCGAATGTCACCGGCGTCTTCGCCCGCACTGAGGTCCGAGCCTACACGAAGCTTGGGCCCCTCATCGGACAGCCGGTGCAGACCGGCGAGGTGCGTGAGGGCAGCGACATGAAATGGATATTCGAGATGTGCGAGGCCGGCGCTGACAAATCCTATCTACTCTGCTGCGATAACCCCAATGCCTCCAACTGGCTGCGCTTCATCCGCCCAGCACCCAGCTACGAGGAGCGCAACGTGAACCTCGTCTCCATCGACCGACAGGCGTACTTTGTGAGTTGTCGTGATTTACGCAATGGTATGGAGCTGCTCTACTGGAGTGATGACTGCAACACCATGTGGCGGAAGAAGCACACCGAGAAGACAAGTAAGCCTCTCACTCAGCCGTCCATCATATAAATTCTTCTCCTATTGTTTTTTGTTCGCAAAATCTTCTATCGTGGGTTTGCTGACTCAACTCCTTGTCCACGGGTATTTGCTGACTCTCCGATTAGACATTCACTTAACAATACTGTCAAATCGAATCTAAGCAAAGCTCTCTTATAAATGTCTCAAAGATTGTTCGCTTTAGGCAAGCTATCAATATCCGAAACAACAGTGTTAGCGACTTCACAGCTAATCCGTTATGTTTATTCCGTCGCAGCCACATTTTGTTTGAGCTAATGGCAGTTGGATCTATTATCAAGTGTTTGGCTTACATTCAAATCATAACCTTCTCCATTTTATCCTTCCTTCCTAAAAACAGACTGCGGCGGCTGCAACTTGAAGTTTGAGCACCCGCTCTACTACCGTACGCACTGCTCAGTTTTTCACGATCCATCGATGAGCCTCACCATACGGAAGTACCACTGCAAAGTGTGCGGCGAGGCGGTGCTGGGTAAGGACAACATTATGAAACATGCGGCCGAGAAGCACGATGGCAAGGGAGCGTATCAGTGTCAGTTCTGCAACAAATTCTTTCTACGGCTTAACTATCTGGAGATGCATCGCACCTACGGCTGTGCCTCGAATCCAAATCGTTCGCGGCCCGTTTGTGATTTCTGTGGTCGCAAATTCTGCCAGCCACAGAAGCTCAAGGCACATATTAAGCGTATCCACAGTGGTAAGTCGGGCATGATACTCCCCCAACACCAACCCAACCCTAATGAGAATCCCAGCCCCAACTCCAGTCCCAATCCCTTTTCCGCAATCCCACCTCTAATCATCAAAAATAGACCATAAACACTTGCGTAAATGTCTGTATATCGTAATCGTATGCAAGTCTAGCGACGTACAATGTAAATCCGTTATCGTATATCGCATATCGTATATCGTAAGCTCGTATAATAAACAAATACACCAACCACAACTAGATTGTGCCGCTTCTACACACTCCTATTATAAATAAGCCCTTACATTAAAAAATGTCGTATCGTATGTACTAATATCGTAAAATAACGCAACCTGCTTAGCCGTAATTACTAACCAACCATTCAAGCGCACAGACATTCACCAACATCAGTTATCACTTAAACACACACACACACACACACACACGCACACATACATATGTACACATCTATGATTACTCATTCTCATGCTTTTTCATTTGGATGCCGAATTGGACGAAACCTTTTTCTAAGAGCTTGGTTCATTTGGTTTACTCTCTTTAGTTGACACACATCATAGAGATCATATAATGTACATGGTCCTTCTATATCATTATCAAATAGTGTCAACTTTTCTTTTGGACGAGTTGTGTAATATGTCAAACAAAGTAACTAGATTGTTATTGTAATCAAATAATTAATACATATATCAGGCTATTATTATATGCATATGTGATGAAAGGAACCCTTACAACAACGATTTCGATTTGGTACAAATTTTAAATGTTGCCATACAGCAACCAGAGTGCTTAGCTGCATAGAAATAAATTATTGACAGTCATAGTGTGATATCAAAATGTTCGACAGCTCACTTTAAGTGTCTATTAAACATCTAGAAACTTATAATTAGACACTTAGAAGCACTAATATAAAACAACATTCACAGCATTCGTAAACCGCATCATTGTATAATCGCTTTTAGTGAATGATTTGCTTTGTATTTTGATTTGTGTTTGATATTTGGTCTTTGATCATAAGTTTTTAGCAGTGACTATTTGGTTCATTCGATCTAGTGACTTATGCTTTCTGTGTATTTTTGTAAATGGCTTACGTTTTGTGATTTGTGTTTTGTGCTTTGGTTAGTTGGGTTTGTCGATTTACCTATAAATTCTATTTCTGTACTCACTAATTTTCTTTCAAAATCACCACAATCCGAAAATTTCATTTTCTTCATACAATTTCATTTTAGATATGGCTGAAGTTTTACGAGATTTTCAGTGTAAATTATGTTCAAAACTTCTAGGATCTCGTGCGGCACTGCAGCGCCACTCGAAGGAGGTGCACAGCCGCAACTCGACTGTGGTCAGTTGTCCGCGCTGCCAGAAACTCTTCCAGAATCGCAGCAACCTGAAGATACACATGCTCACACATTCGGGCGTGCGGCCTTTCAAGTGAGTAAGCTGATTATCGATATCAATAATATTAATTATATATTATTCCTTTCGTATCCCATAGATTCGAATCCCCAGACTTCATAGCATTTCAGCTTCCTTTCTCTAAGTTTCTGTCTATCTTGAGGGCTAATTAAGCACAGTCTTCGTTAACTCTTCTAAGCCCAGTCTTCTGAACCCATTGAAAATAGAAAAACAGGGTATAATGGTTTGGTTGAAATATATATAATAGGCAGAAGGAGGCGTGGGAGACCCCACAAAGTATATGTAATCTTAATCAGCGCGACGAGCTGAGTTGATTTAGCCCTGTCCATCTGTCTGTATGTTTGGACGCGTCGATCTCAGAAGATATAAAATCGTGAATTTTTTTTAGAATGTCCGTATATATGCGCGGATATCAAGTTTATCACAACAAATCGACAGCTCATCCCGTTATGTTTTTATCGATTAAAAATCTTATCGATAGTCTGTAATAAAATTAAAATCTGCTAGAGTCTTCAAATTTTAAATAAATATAAAGATGCATCATAATTATGAAAAAAGTATTTTAATGACTAGAGACTTGTGCTTTAGCAAAAGCATGTGTATGTTATAATCATAATCTGAAAGTTTCATGAGGATAGTCCATCGACAAGAAAAGTGATTAAGCAATTAAGTTCCCATAGTAAGCTTATCTGTATCTGTTCGCTTGTGCTACCGTCTGTTAGTCAGCATGTCCGTATTTCGTGATGGCTAAGCACTCAATGCATATTATATGACCCCGTCAAGCAACTAATAATCGATAAGCCTGGCTACCAAAAAATCGATCCAAACCCTTAAAAGTTTAAGTTATTTCAGCATTTACGATAGAGCTTTACAGTTGTGTCCAAGTACACCAGATGGCATTAATGAACACGTGTCACGACTCGCTGGCATCTTCTCCATGCATGTACCCTTGCATACGTGTCATTTTTTCCTAATTGTATAAATAGAATAATCGCGGGCGCTTTTTTTTTTTTGCATAATTGTCAGCTAGTGGAGGGGGAAGTGGATTGAAATGTTGAAATATACCCAACTGACTTTAGATATCCTCTAGTACTATTAGACTATGGTTCGAAAAAGGATCTAGGCGAGACCAGGTCAGCTTTGACAGATTGGAACTATGCCTTAGATTTTGCATTATGATAATATATGTATAGCCAAAGTAACCTAAGAAAGGCACATGTTTAATGATATTGATCATCGATTGTTATTTGCAGATGCGCGGAACCAGAGTGCAATGCTGCTTTCACCACAAAGCAGTGCCTACAGTTCCATTACAAGAAGGTGCACAACTATACGCAAGAACAGATGCCGAAGATAGAGCGGAGTGTGGCCTATACTTTCGATGCTTATTCGGGCGGCATGAAGGTGGACTTTTTGGGTAAGCCAGTGGGGCAGGCGCTGTTGGGTGCATCACAAGCGCCACGCCCTAACGCTGCCGTCTCCTTCACAGAGCAAGCACCTCGCCGGAGACGCAAGAGCCTAGAAGATCAGAATCAAAACTCAATGCTCAGCAGCTCCATGCAGAGCGATACAGAATATAGTGATGACAACATTTTTGAGGCCATCAAGAAGAGCGGAAAATCGATTAAGGACTTATGCCGCAACGAACCAAATCTGTCGCTGCTCAGCTCCAAAATCTCCAGCATATTTGCCGAAAAGGTGCCCCCTGTACAGCAGGCGGCCCTGGTGGTAAGCGCCGCGACTGGCAACGGCCGTAAGCGTAAAAGAAAGAAGGATCCGGCCTCTGCGCTTGTCGTCCAGCAGCAGCATCAACAGCAGCAGCAACAGCAGCAACAACAACAACAACAACAACAGCATCACCAGCAGCAACAGCACCAACAGCAGCAGCAACAGCAGCAGCAACAGCTGCAGCACCAGCAACACGCACAGCAATGCCACCAACAGCAGCAGCAGCAACAGTTGCATGGAGGCCATTTGGATCAGTCGCCCTCGCATTTATCACACCCACAACAACAGCCCCACTATCATGCCCATGCGCACACGCACGCCCATCAGCAGCAACAGCAGCAGCAGCAGCAACAACAACAGCAGGCTGCCGCGCATCACCAGCAGCAGCAACAGCAATTGCACGACGCCGATGTGGAGGAGGAGAGCGTACGCCTGGAGCAGGTGCGGCGCAAGCAAAACGCTCAACTTAGCCTGGTCGAATCGTTCCTGACCACTACCGCGCAGCGTCTGAGTGCCCAGCAGCAGGTGCAACAAGTGGTGGCTGCGGCAGCCGCTGTTTCCGCCATGGCCGGCGCTGGCGAGGATCCCGCCAAGCTTGGCCATATGATGGGCCACATGAGCGGCGTGGGCGTAGGAGTGGGCGTGGGCCTGGACGAGGACGATGACGATGATGAGGATGACGACGATGCCACAGCACATCACTTGCATCACCAACAACAGCAGCAGCACCAGCAGCAACACCACTCGCATCACCACGGCCACACGCATCCTCACCCGCACGGACAGCAATCGGCACAGCAACCGCACAACGACACCGGCTATCGCCATACCGCCGCCATGAATGCGGCTCTCGGCCAGAATCTGGTCGTCAGCAAGGGCAGCAAGAAGTGGATCGGCGCCGACGATCGTCATCTGAGCGAAAGCGGTGATGTCGCCAACGATGCCACTGTCAGCACTGGGGCTGGTAGTGGTGGTATTGCTGGCTGTGGTCAGTTATCGGGCGGTGCCGGAGCTGGCCAGGATCTTGGGTTCGCTGTACCGCCCATCGCCGTGGACGAGCATAGCAAACTGCTGGGGCAGAACCGTGACTTCTTGGCGCGTCTCATGAGCAGCGCTTCGGCCAGCCATGCCAGTCACCAGCATCAGCATCAGCATAGCTCACACAGCCGCGAGGAAGATGAGAACAGCTCATTCCTGGATGTCGTTGAGTCCAATAATAATGCGGCTGCTGCGGCCGCTGCTGCCGCTGCCATGTCTCAGTACCATCATAGTGCGGCAGCCAATGGTGGAGCAACGGGCGCTGGTGGTGGTGCAGGCAGTGGCGGTGGTGGTGGCGTTGGTGGCGGTGGAGGCAATGGTGGTGTTGGTAGTGCTGCTACCGGCAGTCATACACCGTCCGGTGCGCCCACTGCGCCCAGCAGCGTGGAACCGCCGCAAATGCAAATGAACTCGCTAAGCCACTCGCAGTCATTCATGAGCTCCTTCTACAACAATGCCAACGCAAGACTGAGCGGCGCTGGCGCTGTCGCTGGCGCTGGCGTCGGCGTCGGCGTCAGCACCAACTCCTCAGCCAGCATGCTGGTGGAGGCAGCCCTCAACTCCGTTGGCAATATGATTGACAGCGAGAGCAGTGATCTAAAGGTGAGTTTGGCCGCAAGTGAAGCCACTCAATGTTTTGCCTCGTGTAGGGGAATACCTCTACTATCTGCTGTAAATGTATGGAGGCTCAGCTTACGTACTGCATAAATGAGTGACAAATCAGATGGCTAGAAACCAGCCTAGGCTACCCTTGTAGTATATTTGCAGCAGACAATTTATGAGAATAAGTAAACTTTGAATTTTGACCTAACCGATCTCATAATACTCGTTTTCAATCCATACACAAAGTCAATATATAGAAAGAGCCAACAGTAATATTAGATTTGAGCACATATATTTCAAGTAAGGAAAATTACCACGACCCCAAAGATAATATAAAACAAGTAAGAAGGCTCTAGTCGAGACTGCTCGATTAGGAGATACCTTGAACCCTCCAATCTGATATTCTAATCATTCTGTACTTATTTTATGCACATATATATATACATACACATGCACGTATAAAACCGAGCTCTGCCAACTCCGCAGTAAGCAGCGACTGCGCCTGGGCTGCGCTGCAATGTGTGCAATATTATGAGAATTTATTTTTTGTAAAATAATTTAATTTCTAGACGTACAATCTTAATGAAACTTTCAGAACTTAGTCATAATGTTCAAATGTATGTATGTACATTCAAAAGCACAAGTCTCTAGTATTTGAAATGCGTTTTTTACAAATCGGGGGGAAGGGGTGTGGTATCCAAATTCTGTAAATTACAAACTGTTTGTATTCATACACACCAAGTCTCCAGGTCCAAAAGTGTTCAAATTAGGCAGAAACAAGTAAAAAGACTCTAGTCGAGACTGCTCGACTAGGAGATACCCTGAACCC